AGCGCTAAACAAACACCTGTTGATTTTTTCCAGCAAGGTTTTTGCACTGTTCCAACGAGGTAAAACAGCTATGCCAGTACATTCTGTGGTGTTGGTTTTATTAAAGAGAATGACGGAGGTTGACCAGAACTTTTGCTCCATTTGTCTCAGTGGCAGCATATCCGTGGCATTTTTTTCTTTGTGTGTGCATTGTACTTTCTCTGGGATGCAGTGTGTTAACCTGTAGTTTTGGGTCTAGCTAGAGAAGAGTCAGCTTAAGCAGAGGTCTAGCTGGGTTTTGTAGAGTTCCAATCTTCCCTCACTAAGTATTGTTAAGTGCCAGCTGGTGTGTGTCACGTTCTGTCTGGTGGTGAGGGGACTACAGAAAAAGACATGGCACCACTACAGCTTTCTAGAAGCTAAAATCTACTTGGCACCATGGGCTCCCCTGGTGAGGATGCTGTTTGTGATTGACTTTCCGGTTTTCCCACCAAGCATATGTTACTTTTGTTATCGGAAAAACTTAAAAGTGGAGCTGGGTGAAAACACATTGTTGGGTGAAAAAAGCAAGATGTAAAATGATACGTGTGGTGTGCAGTCTTACATGTAAAGTTTAAAAACAAAAAAATACTGTGTGTTTATGAATATATGAACATATGTAGAAGTATAAAAACAGACGAAGGATTCCCTCCAACTTCAGAATACTGATTATCTTTTGGGGAGGGAGGGACTGCAATTGGGACATCAGTAGTCTCTCTAACACTTTATCTTAAAAGAAATGTGACCAATGTTAACATTTCTTAAATTGGAATGATGGGTTCGTGGATGTTTGTTATATTATCCCATACACTTTTCTTTGTGTTTGAAAATGTCAATTAAATGCTTTTACACTGTGTTAGAACAATTTTTTTAAAATTTGCGTTAGATCAGACAGCCAGTCATGAAATTAAGTAAAATTTAAAGTATCATTATGATTTAGAGTAAAAACAGTCATATATGCAATATGATGTCATTTATATAAAGTTTTAAAAACATGCCAAACAGTCTTACATATTATTTAGGGGTACATACGTGGAAAATAAAAACAAAAAAGAGTGTGAAAAATGCCAGATAGAATAGAGAGGCTTCCTAGGAAGGGAGGGCAGAGGTGTGCCAGGGGTTTCAACTCCATAATGTGTTATTTCTTAGCTCGGTGTTGAGCACCTACCTGAGTGTGCCTTATACAATGATCTAAATCTCGTTTATTAAAAAATATAAACCCTGATTTATGTATGTTAGGGAATGAGAGTTAGTGGATCCTGGGGATAGGGACAGGGTAAGTCTCATGGGAGAGTGCAAAATTTGAAGAGAATGTTACAGGATGGATACAGTTTGGAAAAGGGATGTAGAAAATAGAAAAACATTCCAAGCAGGAAAAGAGCCTGATTTAATAATTAGGATATGTTTGGAAGATGGAGTGGAGACTAACCTTCCCTTGAGTTGAGTATGGGTTTGGGAGGAGTGTCCATGGTACAGGCTGATAGGTGAATTATAAATGTCAGGAAACTGAGCACTTTAATCGTCAGGCTCTTTTAGTCTGTCTTCACTTGGTTTCTCTTCCTTTTCTAACTTCTTGCCTGTCTTTTTTGAAGTGTAGTAAACTGACTTATTATACAAAGTGTTCCAGGTTCAGATACATCATGGTTTAGTTCATGAATATGAACTAAATTCATATTGGGCTTGGATATCTTTGCTGATAAAGTCCATCATTTGTCTAAGTCTTTCTAGCTGTGCCAGCACATTGGGCTGACATCTTTAAAAAATAGTTGGCTGTGATTTTAAGATTCCTTTCCTAGATGGTAACTGATGGCTTCTGTCCCTTAAGCCTACACAATTAATTTTGCTTTTTTTCTTCATGGGTTACTGGCAGGTGGTAATACTCTTTTAAGGAGAGGATCTAAGGATCCTCTCTTATTTTTCTATTCAGCCACCTGCAGAGTTTATCCCCTAATTTCATATTTTACTACAAAGAGGGCTTGTGGCTTGGAGAGTTCAAGTGTCCTCATCTCTGAGTATCTGTAAATGCTAAAATGCAAATCTATAGCCTTTTAGGTGTGTTTTATTGTTTGTTTGTTTGGGTCATTTGTGTTTTAATTTTTGTTCTAAGTCCTCTCTGAGTCAAACTTTCCTTTTACTCCTTGGATCCTCTTGTTTTTTTTTCTCTCCTATACCTCTGCCAAGGAAACCCTTTAAATACATTTAAAGTAGTATTGTTTGCTTTTCACAGTTTGTACTTCTGTAGTAGTATTATTTGCAATAGTTTGTTTACAAATTTCTTAACCTTCCAGAGAGATTTAGGAAGTAGAAAAAATTTTTTTTATCAATGTGTGTAACGATTAAATCAGAGTAGTTGGTGTATCCATCACCTCAAACATTTATTATTTCTTTGTGTTGGGAGCATTCAAAAATACAATAGATTGTTGTTAATGATAGTCACCCTACAGTGTTATAGAACACTACGATTTTTCCCTCTATTTAGCTATAATTTTGTATCCATTGACCAATCTTTCATTATCTCCCCCCCTTCCCTATCCTTTCCAACCTTTACTAATCACTATTAGTAGATATTCTTATAGCTAAAAAAGTAGGGGCCCTATCCATAAGTATTGATTATACACAAGAAGACTCCTTCAGAAATCTTAATAGAATCAATGTGAAAATGATTTAAAAGCATCTTTAGGATCACTTTTGTTATGTGAAACAAAGTACTGGTAGACTTGTTCTGTTTTCTAAATGTTAGGTAAAGATTAAATTATAAAAATGACAAGCAGGAAGAAAACCAACACTTCTTGGGTGTTGAGTGTGTGCAAATCTACTCACTACCTTTTACCATTAGATGAGTACTGTATTACCGCCCACCAGGAATTGTGCTAAAGGGTTTTTGACACATTATTCTATTTAAACCTTCCTACCCTCTTAAGATTGCTTAATTTATTTCTTATAAAGGTGGTGTTTATACATGATACCAAATCAGAAAGGTACAAAAGGGTTTTCAATGAAAACAATCTCTTTGGTACCCTATCTTCCAGTCATATGGTTCCTCTTCCAAACCACTGCTAATGGTGTCTTGTGTATTTTCAGACTCTATGAATACATAGATATAATCATACGTAAATATGTGTATATATTTTAAAGATTTTTATGAAAATGGTGTGCTAAAGTTCTGCATCTTTTTTCAGTTAATGTCTGAATTTGTTTCATGTCAGTGGATATAGAACTGCCTCATTTTGGGGGGGGGAAGCTGGCTGGTAAAGGGATCAAACCCTGGACCTTGGTGTTAGCCCCATGCTTTAACCAACTGAGCTAACCAGCCAGCTCCTCATTCTTTTTAAAAGGTGTACTTTAAATTTATTTAATCAGTTCCCTGTTGATAATAATCCTTTTTCATTTAATAGGTTCAACCATTTATATTTATTGGCATAACTGATATATTTGGTCTTAGTTCTATTTTTATTATCTTTTAAAATAATCTTTCACTATATGGACTGTGCTTACATTAACATTTGCCAATTAGATATTTTATATTCTCTTTTGCATCCATAGAGATTCAAATTTAAGACCTAGTCCTAAGGTTAGATCAGTTCAGTGCTCTCCACCAGTTCTTTTGTTATAGTTTCTGCATCTCAGGGTTAGTTGAGGTTTGTCCTCTTGTAGTTTCTTCAAGCAGGAGTCAAGAAAAGCATATTCTCTGAGTTCTTACAGGTTGAAAATGTTTTTCTGTCACCTTTATACTTGAACAACAGTTTGGCTTGATATACAATTATTCTCAGGTCATTCTTTTTTTCTTTTAGTTGTGATATATTACACACAGAGAAATACATGAAACACAAATTTGTGGTTTGGTCGCTTCACGAATAATCACAAAGTGAACACCCAAGAAGCCCCTGTGTCTGTTCTCTGGCCCTGCCCCCACCCCAACCACATCCTTTTATGGGGTTTTTTTGGGTGGCTGGCCAGTACAAAGTTCCAAACCCGTGACCTCAGTGTTACAAGACTATGTTCTAACCAACTGAGCTAACTGGAGAGCCCCACATCCTTTTATGTTAATCACTCTTTGCTTTCTTTATAATGTTACTACTATGCATCCATCCCTAAGCAGTAGAAACTATTTTTGCCAGTTTTTGAAATGTAAGGAGAATCACACAGTATTTACTCTTTTCAACTTTGCTTCTTTTGCTCAATAGGACATTTGTAAAAATCCATCCATATTGTTACTTGCAGCCCTGCTTCGTATGTTGTCATTGATATACAGTATTCTATTATATGAACGCATTGCAGTTTATTTTTCTATTCACTTTTGACAGACATTTGGTTATTTCTTGTTTGGGACTAAGAGGTACCTTTGTGATTTGACTAGTTTTATATATGTCTCCTGATACACATATGTATATATTTCTCTTAAGATGTATATTTGGGAGTGGAAATACTTGGTCTTAGGGTATGCGTATTTCATTCTTCCTAATGTGACCAAAGAGTTTTTCGAAGTGGCGATGTTATCTTGTATGCCACCTACAGTGTGTGAGAGTTCCTTGAGTTCCTTGAGATCCTCTTCCCTTGATATATAGTGTTACTTCACTGTCTTTCACCCTGATGAGCTTTTAAGGTAGGTGATATTCTCCATTTTACAGATGAGAAAACAGGTTCAAAGTAGTCAAATAACATGGTGCAAGTTCACAGTGGTATTGGATGCCACAACTGGCATTTGAACTCTTCTCTCCTCAACTCTAAAGCTTGTTACCTTTCCATGCTGCCTGCTTTACAGGTAGGATTTCCTGACAGGTATATTAGGCACTGAAACTTGTAGGGAAAATGAACATTATCAAAGACTATATAAAAAGAGCTATCTTTAGGGGATGGCTTGGGTGTAGTCATTCTTGGAGGCAACCTATTTCTCAAAGTCTTGTTCAGTTTTGTGATGCAGGTGGTACTCAGCCAACATATTTAGTTCTCTGACTACTTGCTTCCTTTTTTCTTGCTTTTAGCATTCAGCCTGTGTATGGAGCACAGCACCCTCCTCTGGACCCTCGGCTCACCAAAAAGTAAGTCAAGACATGTTTTTTTTCTTTCATGCATCTACTTCTCCATCACCCCTACACCTTTCCCTATTTTGTTGAAATGTCAGTTTCCACATCAACCTTTTCTAGCTTCTCCTCTGCCCTGTTTTGGACCAGGAGATGAGTAATCTTCTTACCTCCAAATGGTTCATTACTAAATGGGAAATTAACTCACCTCAGAGATTTTGTGTTTTCCTACACTGGGGGCTGGTATTTGTAGGGTTTGGTGTTGGATTCTCAGTTCTGATCACAAGGTCTTTATTGATTAAATATTGTCCCTGAATCTGGATGATTGATGATTCCCTCCCTCCCACCCCCCGTCTTCTAGCAGGAGATCTGGTTTGGGTGACTCATTGCTTCTGAATATAGATAGATCTGCCACTTTTCTCTCACCTATACTCTGAGAACCAGGGCAAATAGAATATAACTGTAGGACTGGCATTCTTCAGGTCTTCTTTCTCTTTGACACACTCAAGGAAACCCAGGCATACATAGAGTTAAAAACTCCCTGCAGGCTATTTCTCCAGTAAAAATCTAATAAATTATTTCTAAACACAACAGACACTCTAGTTAAGTCCAATATGTGTGGGTGTGTTTTTGTGCCTCCAATTATTGCTTTATCACACCTTTTTCTCAGGAGCCATCACTCAGCCACAGTGAATTTTAATGAGGAGATAGGTCATCTTCTCATATTTTCTAAGAACTTCGGCCTCTATCTTTGGCCATGCTTAATAAAAGTTGTAGTTTGTAATGAAAGCTGAATGGTCTGGGAAGTACAGACCTAGGGGGACCTCTTGGGGCCTTTATAATAATATCCACCCTTTCTTCCTCCACAGTCGATGGGGGGAAGTAAAGATAATGTGCACTTATGATTTTTAACTATACGACATTCTGGAAAAGGCAAATCTATGGAGACAGCAAAAAGATCAGTGGTTGCCAGGGGTTGGGGGAGGGAGGAAGGATGAATAGGCAGATCCCAGAGGATTTCTAGAGGATTATATATTGTAATGGTAGATACATGTAGGTACAGGTCATTATACATTTGTCCAAACCTGTATAATGTATACACTAAGAATGACCCTAACTTAAAGTATGGACTTTGGGTGATTATGGCATTTCAGTGTGGGTTTATCGATTATAACAAATGTACCACTGTGGTGAGGGATGTTGATAATGGGGGAGGCTGTGTATATGTGGGGAAAGGGAGTATATAGGAAATCTCTGTACCTTCCTTTAGATTTTGCTGTGACCCTAAAACTGCTGTAAATAAGCGAATAAAGTATTGAAAGAAAGAAAAGAAAAGATAATGAGCATTAAAGTATTTTGGGGTTTTTTTGGGCCAGCCCGGTGGCGCACTGGATAAGTGCGCCGCTTGGGAAGCGCGGCGGCGCTCCCGTCCGAGGGTTCGGATCCCACATACAGACCGGTTCCCGCTCACTGGCTGAGCGAGGCGCAGGAGCAGCACCGAGGGTTGCGATCCCGTTGCCGGTCCCCGGTCCGGTACGGGGGCAACACTGAGGGTTGCGATCCATTGCCGGACATGGAAAAAGACAAAAGACAAAAAAAAAAAAAAAAAAATATTTTGGGGTTTTTTAAATTTTGTTTTGTTTGACAGCTGGCCCTTAACCTTGGTGTTACCAGCACCACGCTCTAACCAAGTGAGCTAACTGGCCAGCCCCATTAAAGTATTTTGAATAACCAGGAAAATGCTATATCAAATATGCATTATCAGTATTTTAATATTTCAAAAATAGCTTTGCTGAATAAGTATTTTATTGCATTTTCTATAATTCTACCAACTTGTTCTTTTTGTGATTTGACAAGTATCATAGAAGGTACTGTGGAAGCATGACTGCTGTTCTTGTCTGTAAGACGCACAATTTTTATATCAGAAACCACTAGAGTATAAGTTCCTTGAGGACGGGGACTTTGTTTTATTCACCACTATACGCTCTGCACCTAGAATAGCATATAGCATGAAGTATGCACTGAGTAAACATTTATGGAATGAAGGAATGAAGAAATTTCATTTATTTAGACAAGCTTTTTCTTTTTTTTACACAAACCAAATCTGTAATTTTTTTTTTTTTACACGTAATAACTGTACATATTTATGGGGTACAGAGTGATATTTTGATATGTATATACAAAGCATGATGGTCAAATCAACAGTAATTAGCATATCCATCATTGCAAACATTTATCTTTTCTTTGTAGAGAGAACATTTGAACTCCTCTGTTGTAGCCGTTTGAAAATATACAATCAATTATTGTTGGTTATAGATACCTAGCACTACAAGAACTTATTCTTCCTATCTAGCTGTGAATTTACATTTGTTAACCAACCTCTCCCCGTACTCCCATCCCCTTTACCCTTCCCAGCCTCTAGGAACCACAATTCTACTTTATACTTCTATGAGCTCAACTTTTTTTAGCTCTCATGTATGAGTGAAAATATGCAGTATTTATCTTTCTATGCCTGACTTATTTCTCTTATCGTAATGTCTTCCAGGCTCATCCATAATAATGGGCTTTTCTTAAATGTTCCTTGGTTTGCACCATTAAATAGAATGATTTCTACTAGTTTCTTGGTTTTATCAAGAATAGTCCTTGGTTGGGCCGGCTCGGTGGCGCACTGGATAGTGCGCCGCTTGGGAAGTGCGGCGGCGCTCCCGCCCGAGGGTTCGGATCCCACATACAGACCGGTTCCCGCTCGCTGGCTGAGCAAGGCGCAGGAGCAACACCGAGGCTTGCAATCCCGTTGCCGGTCCCCGGTCCGGTACGGGGGCAACACTGAGGGTTGCGATCCGTTGCCGGACACGGAAAAAAGACAAAAGACAAAAAAAAAAAAAGAATAGTCCTTGGCCGGTGTGGCAGGCACTACTGATGACTACTTGATACTCTTCCTTGTCCCTGCCTCTCGCTTGCTCAAGAGCCATAAATTTATTCAGATATTGAGCAAGCAACAGTGTGCTACAGAGGGCTGGTCCATGGCTAACTTGGGAGAGTGCGGTGCTGATAACACCAATTCAAGAGTTAAGATCCCCTTACTGGTCATCTTTTAAAAAACAAAAACAAGCCGAGCCCGTGGCGCACTCGGGAGAGTGTGGCGCTGGGAGCGCAGCAGCGCTCCCACCGCGGGTTCGGGTCCTATATAGGGATGACCAGTGTGCTCACAGTGCTCACTGGCTGAGCGCGGTGCGGCCGGTCTCAAAAAGGACAAAACAAAAACAAAAACAAAGCAGTGTGCTATGGGCAGGTATTAGGATTGGTTTAAACCTTTTATGATAATCCTTTGGTAATCCCAGTGACTGGTCTAGAGTGGGCTCATCTCATTGGTTTTGACTAATGAGATGTAAAAAAAGCCTTCTGAGGGAGAGTTCTTGGATCTTCTTTTTAATCAGGGAGAGATCATTCTATGATGAAAGCCTCTTTTTGCTACCACTCACCTGTTTCCTGCTTTTGAATATGGTGGTGTGAAAGTAGGATGCCGAATGCTGTAGCGGCTAACTCATAACCCAGAGAGACAAGCCAAGAAAATTACAGAGACACCAGCCCAGAGTCCTGACATCATGGTGTTTACTCTTTAAGCATCACAGTTGAGTTTTCAGTTTCTTATAGCCAAAAACATTCTGGTCACAGCCAGGAGTTGTTGATTGGTGATAGATCCATTTCAGCACATTTTGAAATAGCATTTGATAAACCATGTGGCTAACATGTAAATCTGTCCATCCACCCACACTTAAGGCAGTGTGTGTACTGTCCCATTTTATTTTTGGATCAGGGTCACAAACCTTGTCTACACCTGTTATCGACTGAGTTTTCTGTCATTCTGTATTTAGGACAGATCTTCAGGAATCTCACCATATCCCAACCTGCCAAAGCAAACTTTATATACTCTTGTTTTCTTACCTGTTAATAATGTAAAACCATGAATATTTTTTACTGATCATTCAGCAGAGTTGCAGTCATACTTTCAATAGAAGTAATCAGCTTTGTGATTTGGGGGGAATTTTATTGTCACTGAATTAACTGCTTCCCTTTTTCATGTATGCGGTGGTTTAGTATTAATGCTGTATAACACAGGACAACATCTAGGTTGTCACCAGACCGTTTTACAGTTCCAGATTGTTGCTATAAACATTTATCACCCTTATTTTAGTAACTTTGTTGGGACATTTTTATTACTTCCTCCGCTACACGATTATCATTCCACTTCAGACCATCATTAATTACTGTGTGGTTAATCCCCATCACAGCAGAAGCCTTTTACATTTAGTCTTCAATCATCTAAACTGCACGAGCATAGTAAATCATTCCCTGTCTGTGTATATTGACTTCAATTTGCCAAATTATTACTATTAGTGATAATATTGCCTGCAGTAATTTTTGTAGCTGAGATAAAACTAGTCTTACTGCTGAGTGGCCCCATTGGCCACTTGATGGTATGACAAGCTTCTAAATTAATTGTTTTCAAAATTGATACTAAAGTATAATAGTTCCTAGTTCTGAGTTACGAAACTAATTCACATGAAGCCACACTACTTACTAAGATGACCAGATTCATTTTATTGTTGCTAAATTTGCCTGCTTGCTTCACATCACTTACCAGTGTCAAACATTTTTCTACAAAATTCTATTAAGTAGAACAACCATATCAGTAAAATAGTGAAGTGTTATCAAATTATAGAACGATTGATCTTTTGTGTTCCTAACCCGCAGCCACTCTTTTTTTCAAAATACCGTTGTTTGTGTGGTGTTTGTGTTACCACTTAACAAGTTACTCTTCACCAGTCACCAAACCCTCACCAAGTCTTGCTCAAATGTGCCATTTATTATGGTTTTGAGAGTTTTAGAGTCACCTGCACTTCTTGAATCCTTTTTTCTTTGCCACTTAACTAGCTTCATGACCTTGGGTAAATCACTTAACCTCTCTGAGCCTTAGTTTCCTTTTTTTTTTTTTTTTTAAAGATGACTAGTAAGGGGATCTTAACCCCTGACTTGGTGTTGTCAGCGCCACGCTCACCCAGTGAGCAAACCGGCCATCCCTGTATGGGATCCAAACCCATGGCCTTCGTGTTATCAGCACCACACTCTCCCGAGTGAGCCACGGGCAGGCCCCTGAGCCTTAGTTTCCTTATCCATAAATTAGAGATAATAAGACTCACCTTACCGAGTTGTGAGTTTACATGAGGTATCTGTGAAGCTGCTTTCTAAATGTAATTTGGCATACAGTTGTAAGGAGGTGTGGTGTAAAGAGGTGTCCATCAGAGGCCAGTTTGGTTGTAGCTTTGATATAGTTGTGTTTAAATAATCTTGGTTAAACTTCAAGCCACATTATAGCATTCTTGTACCTTGGTATAAATTAGTTGGGACTGTGTTAAAATGAGACAGCCTATAAACTGAAGGCACCCCAGCTAGAGTTACCTGGATTAAACTTTTGCTGCAACTACTGGGGTCAGTGCGGAGGGGATGTATTTTTCTTCCAAGCACTTCATCCCTAGATGTGCCTTATTCCCTTCTAGGCTACCTGTCTGACACACACAGCCCATTTTGAGTAGACAGGAGGTTTTTCCTACAAGGTGAGAGAGTTGGGCTAATTAGCAATGTAGACTTGGGGTCAGCAGACCATCCACCTCTACCCAAAAGGAAGAAAAAATATCTCTTGGAGATAGGGGACCTTCAGCTCTTCTGGCAGAACCTTGTTTTCACTCTAGAGTTGCCCTGTCATGCTGGGGGAAAATAATGAGGCATTTTAATGGTGTTTTTACTGCCATCATGTTCCAGTCCCCAGGGACTATAAACTTACACAAGGCTGTACCTCTGCTTCCCTGTTTGGGGTCTGAGGGATGCTAAATAGGACTGAGTTAGAAATGTCCCAACCAGTTAGGCCCCTGGAACCAGAATAAAGGCCTTCAGACCCTAAGGTCGCATGGGGCTTGGTGTATAAAGAGAAAAAGTTCAGGAAAGTAGGAATGGTCTATGTGACTGTTAGGACTAGGCTCTCTTTCCTCAATGGGTTGATCGAGTGTTTCCAAACTTCACTTGTGTACTATCTTAATGATTTTTGCCATATTCTATACTGTTATTTACTAAATACATTCTTAAAATATTCATTTTATTTATTCAAATAGATTTATTTTAAAAAATAAACCTATCACTCTGTAAATGGAAAACCAATATCATTTGCCATAAATAGAAAGTGACCTTAAAAATAAACACAGTGAAAACCAAAACAATCTTATTAACAGATATGTAGATCCTGAGGCTGCCCTCACTTTGCTAAAAAATAGAGTGTTAAAGACAGAGTACACCAAACTTAGACTTTCTCCTCAGGGCTAGCAGACGGAGTTTAACAAAAAAAAAAAAACAGGGAACAAGTTTTTCATTTTGGAACTTAATGTTTAATGATACATATGTGGACTACCTAAAATAATCTCCTGTTCTTCCAGTAGTTTATGTCCTATTCTAAGGGTTAGTTTAGGTTATGTTGCCATAACAGATTAACTCTGAAATTTCAGTGGATGAACACAACAAAGGTTTTTTTCTTGCTCATGCTACATGTCCAACATGGGGTGGGTAAGGGTGGAGGGCAGGCTTTGCTCCACATAGTCTCTCTGTTACCCAGGCTGAGGGAGGCTCCACTATCTGGAACCTTGTCAGTCACCGTGCGAGAAGAGAGGTTATAGAGAACTCACACCTGTTCTTTTATACTTTGGCCTGGAAATGATTACCTCACTTCCCTTCTCAGCCCATTGGCCAGAACTCATCATATGGCCTCACTTAAGTGCAGTGGGGCTGGGAAATGCAGAGGAGCACAGGGGCTATTTGGTGACCATTGCAGTCTCAGCTATGTGGGACTGGATTCATCTAGATGAGGAATGTATATGGGTGTTTTTTGTCCAAAGAAGGTATTGATTGTGTATGGGGTAGTTTGTAATATTATTAATAATATTAAGCAAGTGAAAGTGGTCAGATGATGAGACCATTCCTTGGTAACGATGTCTCCTTTCTTGAAGCTTCATTAAAGAACGGTCAAAAGTCAACACAGTTCCTCTGAGGAATAAGAAGGCCTCCAGTTTTCATGAGTTTGCCCGGAATACCAGTGATGCTTGGGACATTGGCGATGATGAGGAAGAGGACTTTTCCTCACCTTCTTTCCAAACTCTGAACTCAAAAGTGGCTTTGGCAACTGCAGCCCAAGTCCTAGAAAACCACAGCAAGCTGAGGGTAAAACCAGAACGGTCCCAGTCAACGACATCTGACCTTCCTGCCAACTACAAGGTCATAAAGTCCAGCAGTGACGCCCAGCTATCCAGAAACTCCAGTAAGTCCATCCTGTCCCTTTCACAGCCTCAGCCTTCTCAGCAGAGTGCATATTAAATAAAAACAATTTTTCCTTAGGGCATCACTCAGATCTTCCATTGGATGATAAATAAGCAAGCTCAAGCCCGAGGTACGACATTAGTGAGCCTAACTGATTACAAGCTGGACTTGCCCCTCCCACTTTGGTGGCTGCTTAGCCCTGAGACCTGGGCCTTCACTTCCTGAAACCCGATTGTTGCCTGCCATTCTCCTTTTCTTCCTTTCCCTGTGGTGGGGTCCAAAACTTTTGTGGTTAATGGCTTCACATTGCTTTGGGCCTTGACAGGTTTACCAATATTGACTAATGTATTTAAAGTTGTTAGTGGCTGAATTTCACAAATGTTTGGCAGTGTTGGTTGACTTTCTCACCTCTGGGGAACAGCCACTAGCCGCAGGTTGTCTTTTTCCTGTTCCTGAGAGAGAGAGCACATGTGCCTGAAGGCACCAGGTCACAGCTCTCTGGCCATCAGGCTACCCAGTCAGGTTGGGTGGGGTGGGAGGAGAGGCCTGCTCTGTTTGTTTTCAGGAAACTGGCCTCAATAACTGGTTGGGGTGGTAGTGGCTTTCTAAGATGTTTGGGGACTCTCAGCATACTCTTTTTTTTAAGTATGCATTGCTGTGTTTGATGCTGCTGTACGGGTTTTATGGAAGTGGGTCATTCTGCGCCAGAGAAGGAAGTGCCATCATTCTAGCAAAAGTTAAAACGTCTAACTGGTAAAGGATGAAAAGGAAGTAGAAGAATGTCAGAGCCCAAGAGTGCGTCCTGGCTCACATTCTAAGAGAATTTCTTTTACAGTTTCAGACTAAGCATGTGGTCATGCAATTAGGCTGTAAGGGCTTTACAGTCATTCCACAGTTATTTCCCATCACTGATTTGGGCCCCAGCTTGAACTTCTCAGTGCCATGCCCATACTGGCATTGAATGTTGATTGACTGGGTGGCCACAGCTACAAGCTGTGGAAAGTGTCTACACACCATGAGGGAGGGCCTCTGGAGGTTCGCAGCATGAGGAAGGCCCCCACTATGATCCCTAATAAGCTGCCCTTGTGTACCCAGGCCCCTCCAAAGCATTCTCCTTATGGAGGTTCCCTCCTGAATGTATCTGTTGGTTAATAGCTAATATCAGAGATGTACATCTGTCTCAGCTTTGCAGTGTGTGGCCTGCATTTTCTAGGCCCCTTGTTCAACTAGACATCCCAGCCAAGTACCCTGTGGCACTTGTTTTTATAAACCTTCTAATAGTGCTGGTTGATTAACATTTACTGTTTAATTTTTGTGACTACTGCTTTTTAAGGTCCAGACATGTAAAGAATATAAAATAGTCTTGAGGGCCGGCCCGGTGGCGCACTGCTATCGTGCGCCGCTTGGGAAGCGCGGCGGCGCTCCCGCCAAGGGTTCGGATCCCACATACAGACCGGTTCCCGCTCACTGGCTGAGCGGGGCATGGGAGCAACACCGAGGGTTGCGATCCCGTTGCTGGTCCCGGTCCGGTACGGGGGCGACACTGAGGGTTGCGATCCGTTGCCGGACACGGAAAAAGACAAAAAGGAAAAAAATAATAATAATAAAATAAAATAAAATAAAATAGTCTTGAAAGGACAGTCAGAATTAAAAACTGAGTTTTGTTTGTGGTGGCAAAAGGGTTTTGGAGGCAGACCTACCTAAGGTGGCATCTCAGCTCTCACTTGCTAATTAACCTCTCTGAACTGCAGTTTTCTTGTCTGTAAAATAGTTACAAATTCCTACCATATGTTGTAAGGATCAAATGAGAGATCATATGTAAACGTGACCGGCACAGTGCCTTTTACATAGTAAGCACTCAATAAATGTTAGTCCTGTACTGCATATTCCTCCTATCCACCATCTGGTTTAGAAATGTCTAGAACCACACATAGAGTGTAGTTTGGGTCTGTGTTCCTGTTATTTCCGTCATATCCTGGCATAGTTACCTGGTTCATTTTGGTGGGAAATACAGGAGCACAGAGGAATTGTAGCCACCCAAAGAAGATTACCTTAGGCCAGAGCTTCTCACCCAGTGTGCAGGGCACACTAGTGGGACAAGAACAAGTTAGGGTTGTGCCAGGGTTATTGATCCTCTCAGCCCCTGGGGCAGCCGGGTGGGGCTTGTGGCGAGCAGCCACCTGCTTTTATTGCAGTGTGCTTTGTGGTGTTGTCATTTCATACATGCTGTGTGATGTGGAAAGAGAAGGAAAACACTGCCTAGACTGTGTTGCCACCAAACTAGTAGGCACTGAAAAAAGTTCTGGGTTGGAGTAGAAAGAAAACATTTGATTTTCCTCTGGAGTTGCCAAAAATGTTCTCAAAATTGCTGCAGCATCACGTAAGGTGGTGTGGTCTGTATAATACAAATGCAGCCCTTCCTGTGGGCAGGTGAGTGGGGCACAGCTGGGTTTCCACCTCCTTGCTGACCCTTGGATGGGCGCCTGAGCATTTTACACACTCAGCTCTGACTGTGGAGGAGGAGACACCATACTGAACCATTAGGTTTAAGGTTTCTCGGAATCTTTGCTCTTCACACAGCTCATTCTCTTTCCCCTTTTGAATGATTTTAGGTGATACATGCTTGAGGAACCCTCTCCACAAACAGCAGTCACTCCCTCTCCGACCCATCATCCCCCTCGTTGCCCGGATCTCAGACCAGAATGCTTCTGGGGCCCCTCCGATGACTGTCCGGGAGAAAACCCGCCTAGAAAAATTCCGTCAGCTTCTCTCCAGCCACAACACTGACTTAGGTGAGTCCCTATGAACCCTGGGCAAGGTAGGAGCTCTTGGTGACTGGAATTCTCAAAGACTTGGAAGCTATTGCTTTTTATTCTTCCTTCTTTTACTTTTCTAGCATCTCCTGATCTGGTGCCCATTGCAGTGACATGCAGGTATTAAGTCAGAAGTATGTTACCAGAGATTAGGGACCAAATTAGGTGGGGCTGGTTTCTATGGCCTGTAGACCGTAGTGCAGCTATTTTGGCTTTGGTCTCTCCTACCTCAAGGTGATTCTTGCTGAAATCCACACCCATTGGTCTTTCTGTTACCCTGTAACTCTCATCTCTGAGCTGACTGAATTGCTACTGCAGGGCTGTGTCTTTGGCACTTTGCTGCTCAGGGCTGTTGTTTTGGGCTTTTCCCTGTGCTGGTTGGTAGCTGGTGGTGGTGGTCTTATTTGATTGATAGGAAGCATCAGGCAGTGCTGGCTGAGGTTTGTTTTAGGGTATTTGTGGGGAAAGCTAATACAATGAGGCTGTTTTCTGTTTGCAGATGAACTGAGGAAGTGTAGCTGGCCAGGGGTTCCCAGGGAGGTTCGACCTGTAACCTGGAGACTCCTGTCGGTGAGTTCTACCTGCTGTGTAGAGAAGCGTGAGCATCACATAGCCCTTCTTGCCTGATGAGGTTAGTCTGGACACATTGATCTTACTCCATAGACATCTCTAGTCCTACTGGCTGTGATAGAACTGTGGGACTGTAGTTCTGTTTCTGCGCATAAAGGGACACATTCTTGAGAGTTTATTCCCACACATGTAGAAGAGTACAAGCTTGCTCCTGTATTCATGGTCTCCCTTTCTTAACAGTGAGGAGGAAGAATACAGTGAGATAGGGTGATTCCAGTACTTCCTTTGAGCAAGCTCCAGGATTTCCTGTGCTTCACTCCTTTTTCAATAGGAATAACCAATGTGGTCGAAATCCACTTTGCAACCATGAAGAATTGATAAATCGGCCTCCCTCAGAAGCCTTACTAGTTCCGCTTTCACCAAGTACAGAGCACTGTGCCAGCCACTGCGATGGGAATGCTTGGATTTCCTGACCCTGTAAAATTCATTCATTCATTCATTCATCTAGTAAGGATTAATGAGGGCCTGCTGTTTGCCAGGCACAGTGCCACGAGCATATACAAAAACAAACCATAGTCCCTGCTTTCCATGCATTTGCTATGGAATGCATTACATAATGTCTTCAAGGGGAGACCTGACTACTCACCCTACCCTCACTCTTGCAACCATGTAATAATCATCACCTCTGCCACATCTAATGAGTTTGAATGCTATTCAGAGTAGATTTGGTGAGAGTGGAAGGGGAACAAGAGATGTGAGAATGAGTGTGGGATCCAGACCAGGGATAAGAGTGAAAGTTGGCCTGGAGCTTTGGCCAGAAGGAGGGCTGCTGCCAGAAGTTCTGTTTGGGCATTGTAGCTGCCACATCACAGATTCCACTCAGTTTCCTAAGCTGGTAATTCTGAATGTTATTCTGGGAAAGAATGTATAACTGGCACCAACTTTCTTGGCACACCACAGAGATAAGCAGTAGAGGTTGCTGGATCCCTGAGATTCTCAGAAGTATGGCCCTGCACACACACAGCCCTCAGAGGCCATGACTTGGGTTCGGTTCCCTCCCACTGACCTACATTCACTACTCTACTGTGCCAACTCCAGGAGCTCTGGAGTGCTCACCAGCAGTACAAGTTCCAAGCACAGTGCAGGGCCAAAGGAGCAAATAACCCAGGAAAGTTGGCTTTGCTTCATCTGCCCACATGTGGATATCATTGAATAAGGAGAGGGCAAACACAGGGTGGCCAAAACCACAAAGGGATTTATTCTTGGCAGTTTTCCTTCTGTTTCTTTGATAGTTTCCAAGCCAGTGCTCAGGCTAAAATAAAAATTAAGGATTCATCCAACAATGTCTGTCCCCATCTGACTGGCAATCCTATCTATAGGGCTATCTCCCAGCAAACACTGAGAGGAGGAAGTTGACCCTGCAGCGGAAGCGGGAGGAGTATTTTGGCTTCATTGAGCAGTACTATGATTCTCGAAATGAGGAACATCACCAGGATACCTACAGACAGGTACTGTCATCACTTTCTGTGTCTTCGCTTATTAGTCATATTCTTTAGGTGTGTCTCCTGGTAGTGCTATTGGAGTACAGGTTTTCCAGGTCTTCAGGCTGTGGTGTGCTGGTTAGGAATTAAATTTATTCCCAGAACTGCTCCCCCTCTTTTATCCAGCAGCTCTGATTTTAGCCATTTGAAATAGATGTTTTTGGCACTGGTCAGTGGCCATGCTTTTCAAACTTTAATGTGCACACAAATCACCTAGGATTTGATAAAATTCAGCCTAGGGATTATGAGAAAATGCAGATTCTGATTCAGTAGGTTTGGGGTGAGGCCTGCACTTTTAACAAGCTCCCTGATAACACTGATGCTGCTGGTCCACAAACCATAATGCAAGTAAGTAAGGGTTATGGAACACAAGAGGAAAGACAAGATCACTCAGGAGTTGTTCAGTCCCTCTGGACTGTGGCATCTGTGCCCTTCTGGCAGCTGCAGTGCCTATTCAGGACTCACAGCTGTCAGTCATCTGCAAGAGCCATAGCTGTCGGTAGTCTTGGTAGGTCGTCTTCCATCAGTGTCCATAGTGGTCCTCAACCTGCACAAAGGTCTGCCGGCAGCATCCCAAGTGGAAGGAGGAAAAGGGTGGTCCAGTGGTTGCAGAAGGTGAAAGGTTGGGGGCGGGCAGTTATCTACAAGTCCCAAGAACTGAAGTAACCTCTGTTGCTGCTGCTGACACAGTCTTTTGGAAAGACTGGGCATTTGGAAATCCCCGAAGCCAAAACCAACCATGGTGACCTCTTTGGAAACAGAAGTAAGAATTTTCAACTCCAGTTACTGAAGGCAAATTCCCCTTGGTCCTCCCCACTTTTCTAAGTTATGACTTCATAAGCAAGTCCTTCTCTGATTCCCTATCCTGGAATGTTTTTGTGGCTGTCAGAGCTCTTTTAGTTCTTGGGAACTGTTGATAAGTAAGATTCTGAAAGAGGGTACACACGTTGATCAGACCTGTTAAATAAGTACCAGCCCAGAGTGAAACAGACTCCAGAGCAGGAGGAAAAAGCAGTTGATTTTCAGTTTGTGAAGCCTATTGCTATTTGACTTACGTGGTTTATTTTGGGAGATTTCCTCAGTACTTAATAAGCTATTGCTATCATGGAAACACTCCACATAGACAGGTAGGTTTAACTAGACTTTCTTCTGTGTCAATCAATTCTTCCTAAAGATAAATTGTGCTTTAACTCTTACTCCTTTGATTCCCATTACTTAAGGAGATAACTTTTTAAAAGAACAAACTGCCATTTGTGTTTTTGGACATGGCTTCTCTTTTTCAGATTCACATTGACATTCCAAGGACGAATCCTCTCATTCCATTGTTCCAGCAACCACTTGTACAGGAGGTGAGGAAATTACTTAGTGGTCTTTGGCCCTTCTTTACCCATAGCTCTGGGGCACTGGTTTACACTAATCATGAGAGTACTTTATGTTCATAATGGAGATTTGGTTCTTTCAGAGCACTTTCTCATGCATTCTCGTTCCATCTTGATAACAAACCTGTGAGTAGCATTTTGAGAGGTTAAGGAACTTCTTAAAGAGTCCCAAGGCTACCTGGTGACATAACAAAGGAACCCACATTTTAGAATTCCTGTTCCTGTGTTTACTCTACTTTATCAAGCTGGAAGTAGTGATTTTTTTATTGAGATAAAATAGAGATAACACAAAATTTACCTTTTTAACCATTTTTTAACGCACAGTTCACTGGCATTAAGTACATTTACATTTTTGCATGACCATCACGACCATTCATCTCCAGAACTTTTTTCATCTTCCCAAACTGAAACCCTATACCCATCAAGTAATAACTCTCCATTCCCTAGCAACCACCATTCTACTTTTTGTCTTTATGAATTTGACTACTCCAGATACCTCAAGTAAGTGGGATCATACAATATTGTCCTTTTGTGACTTGCTTATTTCATTTAGCATAATGTCTTCAAGGTTCTTCCATGTTGTAGCATTTGTCAGAATTTCTCTCCTTTTTTAAGGCTAAATAATATTCCATTATATGTGTAACACATAGTGTTGATCCATTCATCTGTCAGTGGACACGTGGGTTGCTTCCACCTTTTAGCTATTATGAATAATGCTGCTATTAACATGGGTGTGCAAATATCTGTTTGAGTCCCTGTTATAAATTCTCTTCAGCATATATTCAGAAGTGGAATTGGTGATATTTTAAGACCTAACAAGTTAATCCAAGGCCCAGGGTTCAATCCCTGTACTGGCCAGCCAAAAAAAACCTAACAAGTTAATGAAGTACATAGGTCTCAGGGGGACTATTATCTTTTGACCCAAGTAGGAACTATGAACTCCTTGAGATTAGGGATTTCCATTGTAGCTTTACAGTAGCCAGGATGCTGAGTGTTAGTGCTCTTTGAATTGAGCTTTCAGTTCTCCTCATGATGGAGAGGGATGGTGGTAAAAATGCTCAAAATAATTTCTATTTGACTTTGGATTGTATTCATGAAATTCTGTTTTAATATAGATGTCTCCACTGGTGGGGTCCCTCATGACTTACCAATAACATAGAGAAGATTTTGAGGGTGATGCCATTACGTTATCTGTAAGATTCAGCTGAAAGGAGGTTAAAAGGCCATTCAGGATTGTTTTGTTCCTCCCATTCAGTTTCCCAGGGCTCAGCCCTGCTTATTCCTCATGTTAACTTGGAGATGTGCAGAAACTTATTTTACCTGTGCATGCTTACTTCTAAACCTGGAGATGGGGAAAGTAGACTGTTTAAAAGGGTTCCCCTAGCAGTGAAAACTGAGTACAAAGACAGAAGCTCAAACTCATTCTTTCCAGTTTTTCTTGAATCACCTTTTCGTCTAGCCAGACTATAGTCATCCTAAATATAGTAAAAATGCCAAACAAGGAAAAAAGGATTAAATAACACAGAATACTGAAAGGCTTACTTGGAAAACTAGAAAGGTACTTGAGACTTAAGCATAGTAAGTCAGAATTACCCATACTAGTAGACAAGGTGTAAGAAAACCTTCAAAGATTATCCTATTCACTCCTCTATGAGGCAGGATTAACTCTGACTTTTTCTGTAGTGAGGATCCTTGGTCTCCCTGGTAACCAGGCTTGGTGCTCTTCAGTTTCCATCCCTTTGACATCTTCACTTGTACAGTGTGAGTGCTCCTGCATTGCCCCATCCTTACTAGAGAGGGATTATTGTAGGTCTCCTGACTCTAAACAGCCAGCTTCCATGTACTTGGCCATTGTTAAAACCAGTCACCAAGGATTCCTGTATTCACAGGGGGTAAGTAGTGTAGAGAAGAAGCCCTTGTAAGTCCTTCAGAAAGACTGACCTAGAGGAGCGTTTGAACAGAGGCCTCCAGACAGACACAGGCCACGAGAGGTACAAGGAAACAGAACGGGGCAGGAAACTCTTGAAACTTTATGAACGTGATGGGTCTAGCTTGAGCTCCATTTTCAAGGGAGCAAGAAGGCTCATTTAGCAATAGAGAGGAAAGAATGTAAAAGAGCTCCCATTCGAGTGTTGGACCTAACCCAAATGAGGATGCCATGCCCTTCCCTCAACCACAGAGAGCAGGTGGGTAAGTCTAGTGGAGGCGGAGAAGCCGGCTCATTTCCAGGTAGGGCTTTCTTATCCCTGTCTGTAAGGGCAGAAGTGTTGACAGTAGAAGTATTTCTCAGCTCTCTCTGCCAGCTGGAAGGCAGACTCAATTGTTTATGATACAGGGGCTTTATTTTGTGTCTCGATTTTCTGCATCTCTCCCATACTAGATAACCATCTACAAAATCATATAACCATTTCCTTTTTATTGGTCTCCCTGGGAGATTATTCTACCTTGCACCTGCTTGGGAGGGCCTCTTCAGTCTGACCCCAGAGCTGACTGGTTGGGCCTCTATGGAGTCCATGTGCTATGGAGGCCCTCTAATCTCCTGTCCCACCTGCATGTACTCACCACCACCTCTGCCATCCCTCTGGTACGGTTCACAGAGACATAAGGCAGCTCAATCAAAGCCAGAATGAAGAATGTGTCAGGCTTAGTAGTTGAGGTCACCAGGATGAAGCCAGGCAATGGGTATCAGGTTGAGAAAAGATGCAGGGGGAGCTCCGAGGGCCTAATGAAAGAGGGGAGTGTAGTTGAATGGGACAGTTCAGGACTCTGTAAAGGGACCACAAAGATTTCTCCTTTGTCCCCAACCTAGTCCTCTGGCTTCTTGTGGCTGATATGCTTAACTCCAGAGGCAGGCTGATTTCTCTGTTCTCAAATTTCCAGCTGTAGGTGTCCATAGGATTTGGTTCGACTTCCTATCCCCAGGAAATGTCTGAGTTGCATCCTGATATATGAAGTGACTTCCTGCAAGTATAGTCTGTCACTTGTTCCTATTCAGGCTGGGTTAGAACTAAATCTAGATCTCCTTCCTTCTCAGCAGGGAGAGAAGGAAGGGTGGTAGAGAAGGCATTTCCTCTCTAAATCTGTAATGATTGAAAAAGATTTAGAAAAAGATATCAGAACTTTTCTGATATCTTGTTCCTGGAAATAGAGAAGCAGAATCTACAGATGAGAATGTGGTGACTTGAATTGATGACATCCATAGCTGACCTTTTTCTAAGTCTTTTGTGTCACTGTCCTTTTCCCAATTTTATATTACAGTGACCAGATATTGAAAAGATGAATAAAGGACAAGAAGTACCTACCCTTACTTGAAAACAACTAATTTGTTAGAAACTTTTTGCATTTATGTGCTTCCTTTGTCCCACAGTATTTTTAATTTTTTCTAAAAATTCTACACTAACCCTGAGATAAATCATGTAGGTAAGTGGAAGGAGGGAGTATGTCCCCTGATTTAACACTCATGTCTTCTTTCTTTCTCATTTTCCTAGATCTTTGAAAGAATTCTCTTTATTTGGGCCATCCGACACCCTGCCAGTGGGTATGTCCAGGGAATTAATGACCTGGTCACTCCGTTCTTTGTCGTCTTCCTTTCAGAATACGTGGGTAAGAAGCACGAGTAGCAAGTTGATAAGCTATTGCTCTTTCTTATCTGCCATCTGTTTGTTTTTTTCCCAAGAGTGCAGCCAGTGGATATGTCTTGCTAAAAAAGAGATAGTGGCTTTGGAAACACAGCTCAACCTGTTTTAGCAGTGGTAGCAGCCTGGAATTTATCTTTTGAGATGATCACTGACCTTACCTAAAAAGGCCTGCTTTGTCACAAGAATGACCAAATTGATATATTTATGTTCTGCCATATGCAGATGGTTTGAGCGTTTGTTTGAGGTTATTTTAGGATTATTTTTAGCTTGTCTCCAACATAGGCTGTCATCCACAAAAGCTGGAACCTTAGATTGTATATCAGGCACTCACACTTCAGTTCACATGCTGTATCTTAGGAGCAAGATGTGGTTGTGTAGAGAGAAGGTTGCACCACCAGAATGCAGCTTGTACTGGAGGTGATGTAATGGCCCAAGGATAGCTCTAGGACTTGATTTCTCCTCACTGCTTTTTCACCTCTTACCCCACTGGATTCTTGTCACTTCGGAAAGTGATTAGATTCCATGGTGGCAGTTAGGTTTTCTACAGTCCCAGCCTCCTCTTCCAACGAGCCTAAAGTAAGCAGAGAGTTTGAAAGGAGTTGAGGATCTCGTTTCTCCCTTTTGGTTCCTTAATCACTTGTGCTTGAAGGTTCACGGGAAAACCCATCTGTCATGCCTGATGCTTTGTTCCCTTAGTCAGGTAAGGAGAAGCTCATGTAAGAATAAAGACATCGAAAGGGATATTAGAAAACCTTCCGGTCTAATCCTTCATTTCACAGATGAGGAGATTTCCTGTCTCCTCCTTAGTGGCAGAGCAAGAACTAGGGGCTGTGAGGGATGGCTGAGGGGGTAATGAGAAGTGGACGAGAAAGGAGACCCTGGGAGAGTGGGGTGCATAAGAAACGTCTCACTTGATCCATCCTATTAAGGTTTTCTGATGGGGCTCAAAGGATGGTGTTTTGGTCTTTCATGAGGCAGTCTCAAAAAGTTAAGGTAAATGAATACCATTCCTTGTTCCACTTAAGTAGCAGCAATCAGGGTAGAACTGGGAGTAAGGGTGGAAGGTCACTCTTGCCCACTCTATCAGGTGATCTTTAGCAGCGAGCAAGACTGTTAAAATTTAGCTTCCAAAAACATACAAAGAAAGCTTTTTCTAGAGGACTTTTTAAAATCTCCCTCCTACCCCCATCCATTAATATGTCAACTTTTGGAGGCAGCTACTGTGTTGTTTAACTGTTAAAAGAGCATTCAACTGATCTATTAGGATTTTTGTGTTGCTTCTTGAAATAGTAGTTTTCCAAAATAGCATTAAAGGATGAACCTAAGAAGGTATTAATCCATTCATTAATCTACATTTGAAGTCTAAAATGCTGGCGTGAAATCTCAGTAACAGTATTATGCCAGTTAACATAATCCTTGGCAGCTACCGTTCTGATTGGATATTTAATTATCTTGTTAGCTGCCATTTATATATATTTTTCTCTCTCTCTCTTTTGGGGAGCAGTTGGCAGTTATACAGGAATTGAACCCCAGACCTTGGTGTTATCAGCATTGTTCTAACCAAATGAACTAACTGGACAGCCCCATTTAGATTTTGTACCAAGCTTTACTTTCTATAGGCGCCCACCCCATTAGTACCTCAACGCCATCAGTCCCATGTCTTTCTGTGATAGATTTGACTGCTTTCTGATCTTGGTATTTGGTTGATCAGCCCCACCTGCTGAGCAGTGAAACGCTGACGTATGGTGTTTATGCAGTGAAGGGTGGGCCTCTCTGCTCTTCCGAGGGGCAAGGCTACACTTAGTTTCACCTCTTCAACAGACTCCACGTGGGTCTTTGGTACTTTCTACACCTAGGAAGATGGGCCCATTCATTTTTTACTAAACTTTAATTGTGCCAAATTTCAAACATATTTAAAAGTAGACAAAATAATACCATAAATCCCCATATACCCATCACTCAACTTTATAAGCCAATCTCTTTTCATCTATAGCTCTATTGATTCTCCACCCCCTCACCCTTGTGAATCATTTTGAAGCAAATCCCAATATCAAACATCATTATCATTTCATCCATAAATATTTCCCTATGTATCTCTAAAAGATTAGGAGTTTAAAAAAACACACAGCCATAATGCAATTATCACATCTAAAAAGTAATAATAGCCACTTAATATAATCTAATACACAGTGTTCAAATTTTCTTGATTCTCATAAATCTATTTAACACTTTGAATCAGAGTCCAAATCAGATCCACATGTTGTAGTTGATTGGTAATTCTCTTTGAATCCATCAGTTCCCATCAGTCTCTCTTTCCCTTTGGAGTTTGTAGCTTTAGCCCTTGTTCTGATTTTCAACCTAGGGCCTTACCATGCCAAGCAGTAATATCACTCTGATTTTTAAGGTACTTTACTGTTTGCAAAATACTTTGACATACCCGATTTTGTTTAGTAGGCCCCAATATCTCTTTAAGGTAGATATATCAATCCATTTAACAGATGAGAAATCCAAGTCTTGGAGATTTAATGAGCTTCCCAAACTCAAACCCAGGTCTTTTGACCTTACCACCTCTGCTCTTTGTATGACTTGGTGGTATATTAACTTAGATCCCTGCCCTTAGACTTCTCATGGCTCCCCCTACTACAGTTTCTGCTCCAAAGCAGACCCAGCACATTTCTTATTGTTTCTTTCCCTTAAAAAAATTGTGGTAGAAGTACATGCTCACTAAAAAAAATCAAAACAGTATGGAAGTGTTATTATACACACACACACACACACACATATGCACATGCACACGCACACACGCACACACACACACATACACCTGGGTTAACTACTGTTGTTAACCTTTTGGTGTGTATTCATCCAGACCATTTCCTGTGTATAGATAGAACTGTGCATATTGTTTTTCTTTCTTGTGTTCAGAAAAATGGGGTCAAACTATCCATGCTTGCAGTCAAGTCAAATTCAGCCCTCATTTCTGTCATAACGGGGACTGACCCAGATGGCTGCCACAGCAAGCCCAGCAGGTCATGGGCCCTGGATCTCCTGCCCTGGGACCTGGGGATAAGTTTGACAGTGGACATTGTGCAAAAATAAATAAATATTCATACTTTTCTGTATCTTATTTTCATTTAAAAATATTATAGCCAACTTTCCAAGTCTGGACATATAGATCCTACCTCATTATTTTCAGCAATTTTATTATTTCTGTAATAAGGCTTTACTACAGTTTAATTATTCTGTTATAGAAGAACATTTAAATTGCCTACAAATTTTAGCTATTATAAATAGCATTGCAATGGATATCCTTGTACATGTTTTCCTGTGCATTTGTGTTAAAATACTTATTTGTCTGAAAGAATCCTAGAAGTGAAATTGCAAGTCCTAAGAGCATGCCAAGTAGGTACTACTAAATTATACTCCAAAAAAGTTTACACCAGTTCGTACTCCAGCCACTGATGAGTGGATGCACTTTTCCTCAAATCCTTAGCAAAATTGGATATCTTAGTCTAGTCATGTTTTACCAGTCTGGCAAATAAACCACAGTTTGTGTTTCAGTTTTTGTTTCCACTTGCTCATCAGGGAGATTGTACATCTTTTCTTATGTGTATTATCATTTGTTTCTTTCAAGATCTGCTCGTTTAATAATTTACCCATTTTTTCCGAATGGATTATTGGTCTTTTTTGTGTGTGCAGATTAGATATAGTCATGCTCCACCTGGTACACGTTAAAATGTTAGGTTGGATCACATTAAATTGCTAATATTCAACCATTTGTGATCCCCCAACACGAGAATTTTATATGGTTCAACCTAATATTTTTTTCCCAGACCATCATTTATCTCCTTATTGTGTCTCCTTATGTAGAACTTACTAAATTTTACATATTCAAATCTGTCCATTTTGGGCCGGCCCGTGGCTCACTCCGGAGAGTGCGGTGCTGATAAAACCAAGGCCACGGGTTCGGATCCCATATAGGGATGGCTTGTTGCTCACTGGGTGAGCGTGGTGCTGACAACACCAAGTCAAGGGTTAAGATCCCCTTACTGGTCATCTTTTAAAAAAAAAAAAAAAACAAATCTGTCCATTTGATAAATATTTATTGAGCTCTTTCTGTGTGTCAGGAGATAGTGACTAAGCAGATATACCTGGGTCCATCTAGTGGGGAAACTCACAAACAGGTAAACAAGTAATTGCAAACTGTGGTGAAGACTATGAATGAAACATCACCTTCAGGGTGTTTGGATTTGGTATTTTGCTTAGGAAGTCTTTCCTTCCCTACCCAAAGATTATAAAAATACTCTCCTATGTTTTCTTCTAAAATTCTTGAGGTTTTGTTTTTACATTTAGCGTTTTAAATTTCATTAGTCATTTATTTTCCTTTATGTTGGAGGTTGAGATTTAAAGTTACTGTTCCAGTTCAATAGCTAATTGTTTCAACACCACTTATAAATAGTACATCCTTTTTTCACCAATATGAAAACTCTTTTTATAATATTATATAAACTCCATTATTTACATGGTTCTACTTCTTTATTCTGTTCCATTTATCTCCATTTCTATGCAAGTACCACGTGGCTTAGATTTTTTTGAGCTTTATAGTGTTTTAGTTTGTTTGTTTCTTTGTTTTTTATTCCAGGACCAGTCTCTTTCATCATCCTTTTCTAAAAACTGTCTTGGCTGTTCTTCCAGATAAACTTTATTTTTTAATATTTAATTTATATTTATCTTTTATTATTATTATGGTAAAAACACTTAACATGACATCTACCTTAAGAAATTTTAAAATGTACAGTACAGATCATTAACTGTGGGTGAATAGCAGATCTTTAAAATGTATTCATCTTGCATAACTGAAACTTTGTGCGCATGAAACAACTCCCCATATCTCCTTCCCCTCTAGCCCCTGGCAACCATCATTCTACTCTGTTTCTATGAGTTGGACTATTTTAGATACCACAT